TAACAGTTTAAATCATCTTATTGACATATGGTTTCTGACACCACTGATCAGACATGAATAATCAATCACTGATTATTGATATTGGCGTGTCAAGGTCCTCAGTAGTGTACTAACAGCAGTGTGTTTCCGGACAGGTCGGCGTCATGTCCATCTCTCAGATCACCCCCACTCTCTTCCTGGGCAGCGCTGACGCCCCCCTCAACGCAGCACTGATGTCACAGAAAAGCATCACCCTGATCGTTAACGCCACACTGAGCCACACCTGCCCCGCCTACCCTGGGGTGGAGTGTGTACGGGTTCCTGTCTCTGACTTACCCAGCGCTCGCCTTGGTGATCACTTTGACCGGGTGGCAGAGCGTATCCATGGCAACCGAGCTGGCGGAACACTGGTGCACTGTGCCGCCGGTATGAGCCGTTCTCCGGCGCTGGTGATGGCCTACCTGATGCGCTACAGGGGGGTGACGCTCCGCCAGGCACATCGCTGGGTGCAGGAGAGTCGGCCCTGCGTCAGGTTGAACACTGGATTCTGGGACCAGCTCCTGCAGTACGAGAAGCGTCTCTACGGGAAAAACACCGTCAAAGTCGCAACAGTAGAGGAGATGTCACCCCCACCTCCCCCCCTGACGCCGAGGACACAGAGGGTGACGAAGTCAACGCAGCTGCAGAGGAACTGGTTCATGCTGGTACCCAGGTCACTGATAGCAGGGTCACCTGTGATGTCACAAGGTCTGACACCAGGAAACAAGTCAAGAAGAGGAACCAAGTCCAGCAACGTCTGAGCTGTGAGCGCCACAGCATCTGAAACATCTTCGAACCAACACTTGTGGTTTTCTTTGGTCCAAACCTGATCATTACTTACCCACAATGCATCTCCTCCACTGACAGGCTAGGAAGCTGCTGGTGTTCATGAGAAGAGTTCATTGAACGCTGTGTGTGTGTGTGTGTGTGTGTGTGTGTGTGTGTGTGTGTGTGTGTGTGTGTGTGTGTGTGTGTGTGTGTGTGTGTGTGTGTGGAATGCATGTCAATGAGTGTCCTCACAACTATATAGAAACGCCTGTCTGTCTGTCCGACCGGAAGCTGCCTCAGGTCCGCTCGTGCTTCATGTGTGAAGTATTTAAACACAAAACTGCCAGTGATGCAAGTAGTTTTCAGAGTAAAAGCAGAGTGAAATAATGTATAAATAATCAAAGATATTCTAAAATAAAAGACCTAATATATATAACTGGTGACGTCATGTGTCGTGGTTCATTCCTGAATTTGAAAGCTGATCTTTATTTTTTGTTGGAGTCGAGTTCATGTTCATTTCTTCATGTTTTTATCTAAATCTCAGTTTCCATTGAATGACCCTCCACAGTCATGCTTTTATTGTGAAAAGCCGCACAGGACGCTGGACCTCGGAGCAGCTCGGGGAGACTCGGCTCTGCTCGGTTTGTTTTGATCCCGCCCTCCACCGGAACACCGCGACATGACAACCGGACCCCGACGCGTCCGCAGCTCCGGTGACGGGACAAAGAGGACCGGGACCCGGAGCTCAGACGCGGGGCTTTAAGAGCCGAGCGGCTCAGTGCAGCGGAGCCGGGCTGCGGTGGACTCCTGGCGGCTGCAGCTCCACCTGCGTCCCGCTGATCTGAGACATGTACCAGGTCCAGGTGAGTCTCCTGGATAAAGATGATCACTGACTGTATATAAAGACACTGACTGTATATAAAGATGATCACTGACTGTATATAAAGATGATCACTGACTGTATATAAAGATGATCACTGACTGTATATAAAGACCATCACTGACTGTATATAAAGACACTGACTGTATATAAAGACGATCACTGACTGTATATAAAGATCATCACTGACTGTATATAAAGACCATCACTGACTGTATATAAAGACGATCACTGACTGTATATAAAGACACTGACTGTATATAAAGACACTGACTGTATA